GATGGATTTAATCAAAATATAATATGAACTGAATATTCATGTATGATATTTGAATACTATTGCATTCCAACATGAGTTTCTAAATCTTAATTGTGTCTTTTATTTGATCCTTGAATTTTTTTAAATAGAAACCGATAGTTTTATTAAAAAAAAATTACAACGAATGTTTAAACTACAATTGTAAACTAAACACGAAATAAGGATATTTTCCTATAATTATTGACACAAAGAAAACTAGTTACATAGGATCACACAATGACCATATAAGGAAAAAGTTAAAAAAACTTAACCAAATAAGCTCGAATAAAAAGTTGATACGAACAGATCTAACCGCATCAGCAAACAAACCACAAAAGGGGATCAAGCTATTGAAATACCACTAACAAACCATAAATTAAAGTCGAACGACGTGAAAAAAATTATTCACGTATACAAATTGCATATCCAAATCCAATCAGATGGTCCAAAACAAGGAAGATCGACATGATAATAAATAAGCACTATCTTGATCAATTGTGACAATGTCAAATCCAACCCTAAGAAACAAGGTGAACAATCATAAATGCAAAGAAAAACGTACCATAAAAATAGAGAAAAATATACTATAAATATTGAGTTATTAAAAATTTAAAAATAAAAAAAAAACAAAGATACGCGATAATAAAATATATGAATAATAATAAATACCGACTATGGGTGACCAACACCAAGACAGTTGGACTGAAATATGACATAATAGTAACATTGTTTTATTATTTTTATTATTATTACTATTATTATTATTATTATTATAGGGTTATTACAATATAATATATGTTCTAAAAATTCTCAATTATTTGATAATGAAAGTACACTTATAATCTTTGGTGCTCAAATCTCATACCTTTAAAACTAACAATTCTTTTAACCGTAACACTATGAAGTTAGCGTCAAATTTTTTTTATTTTATGAAAATGCCAATGTTATTTATTTTTTCATTTTTTACTACATTAAAATTTCAAATAAAATAATTAAAATTTATAAAAAAAAGCACAAATCAAATGATTTTTATAGTGAATAAATTATTATTATTTCTTAAGGTATTAGATTCAAACATCATAAATGTTAAAAGTACAAGCGTTCAACGCGCCAAATAATTGAGAATTATTTTTAAAAAGGTGTTAACTTATATTTATCCCAAATTAATAAAAAAAATATTTTAAAAAAACTGGTAACAATATTTCAATAAGGACAAAATAACTGTTATTTCGATTTTAAAATCTTTTAATAACATTTCTTAAAAGCTCAAAGTTTTAATGCTTTTTAATAATAATAAAAAGTAAAAATCATAAAATATGACAATTAATTTTTAACAAATTGAAGTACAAAGACAATTTTTTCTATTTTAGTAAAAGAATGGAATCAATAAGTAGACCCTTTTCTTTCCAAACTACAAAAGAAGTGGGTTCGAAGTGGAAATAAGACGGCGGCCTCTTCGCCATTTAGCGGCGGAAAACAGTGGTCGGAGTTCCCAGTTTGTACAATAATTTTGCTTAGACTTTGACAATGTCAATGTACAGTTTTTCAAAACTGGGGCCTCCCACTGGTACAAAGAATCTTGAATCTTATTAAAACTTCAACGAAAAGGACATTAATAACTGTACTCATCACTTCGATTTCTATATTGACATATTTTAATCCAAAATTTTATGATTGACCCACGAATTGAACTGACGATGCTGATGTATTTATCTATTAAAATTCTAATTATTTTTCATTTAATATAATTATTCATTGCTCCTTTTCCTTTCTCTGAAGATGAATGGAAGAGAAGACAATGAAATTAGTCGAAAGGAGGTAATGATGAAGATAGGTAAACGAAGTAAGAACTGAATCAAACCGATTACATTTAAACAATAATTGAGCCGAAACAGAACGGAATCAAGTAAAACAAAAACCACAAGCGATACGGTTTTCGGTTTTACGTTATTTCAAGCATGGAAATCTCAAAAATGTTTTGTTTACCAGAAATCACTCCAAAGGGCAAGCTTTCTCAAATGCTTGCTGCTGTTTGCGACATAGATCAAACTCATTCGTATGGTAATACATGCACCCGACATAACCTTCCATGATCTTTGCATCTCTGATAAAGATCTTTAAGCCTGTAAAGTCGAAAGAAAAAGAAATGTACTAAAGCTATGTTATCCAGATTATACGTTCTCTCTCTATAAAGTACTCGAGCTCAAATGCTTATGTCGAATGCGGGAGAATGATTCTTCAATAAAGTAATACAGATTGTAATCATGTGTTCTACTGGTGTTCAGCTCCAGAAAGAAAAAAAGGGTGTTTAGCACCATGCATGATTCAAGCAGATCGATAAAACAATACAGAAAATATGAAAACAAGCCAAGGTAGATTCAATAAACCCAATCTGCAACCCGAGTTTGGATCTAGGCATTTTAGACTGTTTTCTGATAACATTATAATCAACTTTATTCATTTGCACCAATGCAATGGTACAAATATTAAACTACTACTCAATCCTATGACATGAAAACTAAATTTACACTTTCGAGCACATCTAAAACTAATAAAAGCTTATTGATGTTAACAAATAAGAGCCACAGTAGAGGTTCATTTCTAAATCCAATAATTCCATGTATTTCAGCCGTTGATATGTTTTATGTCGTATTTTAGTTATTTGTCTTCACTGTCATATCTCGTCTACTCATTTCTCCAGTTGCTGGTTGGCAGGGATGCGACCGATCCCCATTTCTTTTAGCCAAATTTTTTTATTATAGAACCTAAGTTGCTCCGGCTCTTCACTTTTCTAAGTACCGATGTTCGACTTATTTTACCGGCCCCGACAAGCCTAAAGGCTCCCTGGAAACCAACACTGGAATATCACATAACCCAGCACTCCTCGACCTTCCAGGCTCCAGCTCCGGAGCTACTCTGTAATCCGCTTAGCCCCTCCTTTGACTAAATAGGAGGTACGATATTAAACTGACACAGAAGACCCCGAACCGACCTATCTACAGGTTCTACTACTGACTATCTACCAATAAACCGAAAAACTCGTGACATAGAGTATGTAACAAGACTCCCTCGCTCCTGAGAATGGAGAGGAAGAGAGAACGGGTCTATTATCCAATTTCTCAGAGAAGTCGAACTAATTCCTTGATGGTTCTTCGTGCAAACTAGAAAGGGTGAACTGCCATTGTCCGATGTTACCATATACACATCCAGCAACCATCATTTTCTTAGTTGTACATCAATGAAGATGACCTCCGAGGATCCTCCACATACACGAAAATACTTAGGATAATCTAACTATAATCGAGCTGTGACGCACCCAAGTCTTAGTAAGATAGCACAAACAATTCTAGATTTTTCATGAACTAAAATCCAAATTATCAGAAATTGTTCTAAGCAAAATCCAGCTGAAGGGAAAACAACAATAACCAAAGGAATTGAAAAATTAGTAAAAAGTTGAAGAATCAAAATGCTTACAGTCCAAGGGCTCAGCGAGTAGCTTGGCGGCCCTTATCGAGACATTTCTCGGGGTTAGGATCTTTCTTCTTACACTTGAGGAACTCCACGTTTTCCGGCATACAATTAATCTCCATGTGCTTCGCCGCCGCCATCAGAACCGACGATGTCGGGATCGGTTCGCCCGCCGCATCAACCACGTTCGCCATTTCCAACGCCACCAACAACGAAGAAAAGATCACTTCTTTCTGCACCAATAAAAAAGCCCAACCTTTATTTTCTCAAAATTCTTAATTATCTACAATTAAAGGGGAAGAAACAAAGAAAATTGTATTGTGGGTTAATCTGTTTACCTTAATCAATGTGTTTTGCTCAAAATTGAAAGAGAAGAACGACAGATACTTATTTGTAATTCTATTTTCATTGAAGAGTATTATGTCTTTTAGGTTTCTCTTTCTTTTATAACCCCGTAGGCCGAAGCCCCGTTGGTTTCTACTCTATTTCTTTGCTCTTTTTTTTTCTCTCATCAGAATAATCTCAAAACAATGATTTCTCAAAGGTTCTTCTTTGCTTAGGTTTCTTTTCTGTGTTTATTATGGTTCATTTGATGAAGAAAGTATAACAAAGAAAACCTGAGACATCGAGCAAATATATTGTTCGACTTTTCATTTTTATGAAGTATTCGAGTTCGAGTCTAGTAACATAATCAACCAATGCCTCTTGCATTCTAGGCTGCCTAAATTTGAATTAAACCGTGGTGTTTGATTTGGTTTTGGTTCGAGTATGAATTGAATGTATTTGATTTGATTTTCGGTTTAATTTGGGTAAAACAATTCAGCTGAATAATTAAGATATTTAACAGCCAACTCTGGCTGAGCAATCACATCACAGTTTACGTTACATGATCGATTTCATACGTAAGCTCTTCAACCGAGCCCGTCAAATAAAAAAACGACGACCATCGATATAAGGCTGAAATTTTACTATCTTATAATACTCTGAACAATAACAAACATCGAGTTCTCCAAAAAAGAAGTTTGGAGATTATAGATCAAGGGAGATATGATGGACCAGATTCAGAAGCTGCTGCAGTATCAAATACACCTTAGATTTAGGTCAACAGAAACGAAATAATGAAAGTAAACCATATCTGCCCTGGAAACTACCTTTTACCATTTCAGAAAAGCCGGAGCTCAAATGGATGTCCCTTGTTATTCGTTTGATCAATCCTCGACGTCGAATCTCTTCTTGGATATATGATCCCTGTTCACCTACAGAGAACGGGGAAGAAAAACGGATAGTTACTTCATCATACTGCTCAGCATCTATGAAAATTCATTCAACTATTGGCAAGCAATTGAATAACCAAATGTTTCTAATGACGAGGCTTATGGAGCAAAAGTACAGCTACGTACATCTACGACGAGATAAGCATTTACTAATATGAAATAATGATATGGTGAGGCAACCAAAAAGAGGATCGAAAGAATAATGCCTGTTAACACACATCTATCTTGATCCGAAATGATCTATGCATTAGCTTCAGCATCATCTTCCGGTTGGGGTGAATGAACTTCGGTTTTAGTGGGGTCTATTTCCATATTGGAGAGGTCAGCACTTCCAATCTTATTCTGCTGAGAAGCTTTGTCATGATCCTCCGGTCCGGGTGAATGAAGTTCGGTTTTAGTGGCGTCTATTTCCATATTGGAGGGGTCAGCACTTCCAATCTTATGCTGCTGAGAAGCTTTGTCATGATCTTCCGGTTGGGGTGGAGGAACTTTTATTTCTGTGGAGTCGACTTCCATATTGAAAACATCAGCAGTTTCAGACTTAGTCTGCTGAGAAGGCTCAGCATGATCTTCGGATTGGAGCTCAGTTCCAACATTATTGTTACGTGCAACTTCAGGATTGGCAGATTCATCGGAGATGACTTGTGATGAGGATGGTCCTTCCTCTGTGGGATTTGATTCTACGTTGCAGGCCTCGATGAGATCAACCTCAGACCTCAGAACAAGCTCTTTATCATTAGAATTGCCAGATTGCAGTGAAGACACCTGCATAAGCTCTGGATTGGTAGATTCGTCAGAGACGACTAATGACGACAAAGGTCCTACGGGATTTGATTCCACATTGGAGGCCTCAACAAGATCAACATCAGAACTCCAGACAAGTTCTTTATTATCAGATCGCAATAAAGAAGACTTCGCCTCAGAGGAGTTTGGTTCAGCAGTTGAAGTCTCAAGATGGACAGCTCTGTCGTCTTAATTACCAAGAGCTCATGAGATTGATCTTCCATCATGGACTCCTCGATGGTAATTTCTGCCGAAGTTGTCTGTGCTTCTAAGGTGTTAACATTTGTGTTTTCAACCTGAATATTATCACCTTCACTACTTGCAACTCCTACTTCAAGATGCATTTTAATGTGATATACGGGAACATGCTCCATGCTTGACACAGCTGTAATATATTTCTCTGCAGATGCTTCTATTTCCAAAGGGTCAACATGATTGCCGTCGGCACTCTCGATTCCTAAAGAGGGCTGCAAAGACTTTTCCAAAGAAGGTTTTGATTCCCTTCCCAATTCGTTCTCAGTAACAGCAGGATTTTCCACCATGGCTGAATGAACAGGATTTGGAGAAATATTTGAAGTCACGGGAAGTACATCATCAACATCAGGTTTTGTGGACATTGCATCACCTCCGAGGTTTTGAACATCTAGGGCAGCAGCTTTAGGATATGATTTTAAAGAAGGCTCTCTTTCAAACTCGAAATTATTTTCAACCATAGCAGGTTCCTCCTCCATGCCTGACTTAATTGGACATATAGCTAGAGAGTCTAAAGACTCTCCTGGATGGTCAGTAACATCATGCAATCTGACGACATTCAGAGCACCTTCAGCATTTTCAACATTGATAGAAGATTCCAAAGATCCTCTTGCAGAAGGTTCTGTGCTGTTTTCAGATGGAATAACAGTTGAATCAGGAATGCTTCTAGAAGCTGAGTGATCTGAACTCAACAGAACCATAGCATTCTCTCCAGAACTATCACAAGCGACACAGCCTTTAGGAGAACTAATATCAAGCGGCGATGAATTTGGAATTTCCAAAGAAGTCTTTCCTTTCAAAGAAGGGTTTGCTTCATTCCCCGAATACACTTCAGTCATACCAGGACTTTCTTTTTTGGTTTCAGAATCATTAGTAAAAGGCTCCACTGTAACTGAAACAGAGGGGGCACTCTGTAATTATCGCTGGTATTATCAGCTTTAGGAAATTCTTTAAAACCAGCTTCCATGTTGGTTATATCACTCTCAGTAGTTCGAGGCAGTTCCATTGGACTGAGAGAGGCAGGTTGAAATCTAGAACCTGTCTGATCACTACCAGAAGCAGTTCTTTCAGACACATCTTTCTTGCCACCATCATGCCGAGGGCATGTACTATCAACCTCCATATTACGCTCTGTAATTAAATTTTTATCTCGAACCTGTCTTGAACTTGCATCACTCTCTAGGCCAGTATTGCATTCAGGTTTCAAAGAATCAGCTCTCTGAACAGAGGCCTCAGCCACAAGAGATGCATTGTTTTCCGGTGCTTTTGCATCAGCTTCAGAAATGGATAGCCTTTTACTTTCTTCTTTTGGAACATCACAAGCTGGAGCAGTTTTTTCATGAGCTGGTGTGCTGACAGCTGATTTACAATCTAGACTTTTTTCATCTAACTCATCCAGTGTCTTGTTTGATAATGGTGCAGTAGGAGTATTCCTTCCCTCACTCCCAGCAGTTTCACCAGCTCTAGATTTTGATGAGCAGGTTTCAGAGAAAATTTCCTTCATCACTCTGGCAACATCATTGACATCAGCAGTCTGTATTCGATTAAATGCTGGAATTGCACTAGTTACTTTTATTTTTGAATCATGACCAACAGAAGCACCAGGAGAATGAACTTCAGATGCCTGTATGTGAGTGACATTTTCCAGTTCATGAGAGCCAGAATCTTGAATGTTCTTCTATGCAGTAGCAAAGTTGTCCAAAATTTCCCTTGTTTTATCCGAGACCAGAGAATTTACTCTCAAGTCTTGACCAGAGAATCTTGAATGTTCGTCTCGAGATATTTAATTAATTGAATATCCTTATTCTCATTAAATATTGGTAAAATAAATCAATTGTTTGATAGGCTTTTTTAATTTGTTTGACTTTTGTATGTGTTTTCAAAGGGTTTTCAAAATAATAATGTTCGATCAGAAACAATAATTAAAATTATTTTGTGATTACACTACCTGGTTGATCCTACCAGTAGTCATATGCTTGTCTCAAAGATTAAGCTATGCATTTGTAAGTATGAACTAATTCAGGCTGTGAAACTGCGAATGGCTCATTAAATCAGTTATAGTTTGTTTGATGGTATTTGCTACTCGGATAACCGTAGCAATTCTAGAGCTAATACGTGCAACAAACCCCGACTTCTGGAAGGGATGCATTTATTAGATAAAAGGTCAATGCGGGCTTTGCCCGTTGCTCTGATGATTCATGATAACTTGACGGATCGCACGACCTTTGTGTCGGCGACGCATCATTCAAATTTCTGCCCTATCAACTTTCGATGGTAGGATAATGGCCTACTATGGTGGTGACAGGTGACGGAGAATTAGGGTTCGATTCTGGAGAGGGAGCCTGAGAAACGATTACCACATCCAAGGAAGGCAACAAGCGCGCAAATTACCAATCCTGACACGGGGAGGTAGTGACAATAAATAACAATACCGGGCTCTACGAGTCTGATAATTGGAATGAGTACAATCTAAATCCCTTAACTATGATCCATTGGAGGGCAAGTATGGTGCTAGCAGTCGCGGTAATTCCAGCTCCAATAGCGTATATTTAAGTTGTAGTTAAAAAGCTCGTAGTTGGACCTAGGGGTGGGTCGGCCGGTCCGCCTCACGATGAGCATCGATCTGCTCGTCCCTACTGTCGGCGATGCACTCCTGGCCTTAATTGGCCGGGTCGTTCCTCCGGCGCTGTTACTTTGAAGAAATTAGAGTGCTTAAAGCAGGCCTACACTTGTATACATTAGCATGGGATAACATCACAGGATTTCGATCCTATTATGTTGGCCCTTCGGGATCGGAGTAATGATTAACAGGGACAGTCGGGGGCATTCGTATTTCATAGTCAGAGGTGAAATTCTTGGATTTATGAAAGACGAACAACTGCAAAAGCATTTGCCAATGATGTTTTCATTGATCAAGAAAGAAAGTTGGGGGCTCAAAGACAATCAGATACCGTCCTAGTCTCAACCATAAACGATGCCGACCAGGGATCGACGGATGTTGCTTTTAGGACTTCGCCGACACCTTATAAGAAATCAAAGTCTTTGGGTTCCGGGGGGAGCCGTACCCTCCACTCTACATCAGAAACTCAAATTTATAATGGAATTTTAATATTTTTTTCGATTGGAGAAAGAATCGATTGCTTCAAGGTATGATAGATCAGTTCTTCTCAATAGGAAATAGTTTAATATTATTATCTTTCATCCAAAATTTCTAAATATGTTATTTTAGGGAATCTTAAATTAAATTAGACTCGAACTTGTACCGATTTAGGGCGTTGTGGGGGTGCTAGTCCTTCCCCACACGTAACCGACTCCCGAACTCAAATTTTGGTAACGTAGACCCCAAGTTTGTCTTTTTAATTAAAATTAATATTTTATTAAAATGACAAATTTATTTTTGGGTGCCCAATCACACCCTAATCAAAGATTGGTGGCGACTCTTCGAACCGTACGTTTTATTTTAAAAAGGAATCTCGAATTTTTCGAAACTAGAGTTTTTTTTAAAATCCGAAAAGAATAATTAAAAATTAGTGTGGGTTTTAAAATCTCGGGTAAAAGACCGTTTCGACAGCTTGGCGACTCCGCTGGGGACTTTTTTTAGAGAGCCAGGCCATTAGTCGATTAATAAAATATCTTTGCAAATAAAATTACAAGTTCGTTCTAATTTGGTTTTTGATCCCTTGTTTGGTTTTAAATAAGTTTTGTTTGCATTTTGACTCTTAATTTGTTTAAACACTAAATAGTTGTACTGATTTGTTTGCTAATGTTTTCAAATTAAATAATTCTTCAGGGTCTTAAGTTTTCTGTTCAGTGTTGTTTGCTTTGTTTTCGCTTTTCCTCACACACTGCACAACTGCATTTGCATAACATGAGCTAAAACCCCACTCCGTCTTATTTAAGTAGGAGTAAGTAACTACTCCCTTGTGTGGTTTTCACTTCCGTGCGGGATAGTGAAATGCTCATTGGGCTCACACCTTATGATCCTTGTGAGGTTTTCACCTCCGCAATGACATAAGGAAGTGTGTCCCCTCAAATTGATCTCGATTCGAAAGCCTGAGATGGGCTAGGATTGAGGGTTCGGTAGCCTAAAGGGCACCGACAAATGACAATTCGAGGACCCCTTACTTTAGAACCAAACCCAGCATGTAGTAAACTTAGAACCTAAATACGACCTTACCCAGACTATATGATACTGTGAGGAGAGTACACAAGGAAAAGCTTATTTGAGCATTTTCTAGTGAAATTTTAATTTCTCGAATAAATGTATGTGAATTAGAAATCAGACGGTTAGGTTTAATTTGGGTAAGCATGCGAACTAGATGACACGAGGTTAGGTTGTTCTATAAACAAAACATATGGGTAGAAATCATGTTTGGGTAGGATCTACTAAAGCATGATTGGGTAGCCAGCATGTGAGGGTAGGTTTTATTTAATGACTACGATACTTATTATTTTATTGATTATATTATGTGTACTAACTCATTTTGGTTTTATGTCTATTTTATTTTGGATTTATTGCATTTGCATCTTCATGTCATCAAGGTGTTAATTCACAAGTGATTGACTAATAAGAAGGATAGTCACAATGAAAAAGAAATTCTTAAACATGTAGTCAAAATCAGGAGATCCGAAGATGTTCAAACAATCCATGAAGGACATCCAATGAATGAATAAATTTGAAATTGATTGAAAAAGTCTTTCAAAGGAGCGAAGGCCAAGATGTTCCCTCGTGATATAGATACAGTCATACCAAGGACGAGAAGACTCTTCACAAAGACATGAAGACACTTCGCATTAGAAGTAAAAATGGAGATTTCATGATTTAATTTAAGGACATCTGACGTCATCAAAGGTGATAAAGTACACCGAAAACTTTGGGTAATGAAGAGTCGCAATTGTATTTTGACTACATGGTGTAATGAAATCTTGTTGTCTAAATGAAGGTTGTTATATGGTGATCACTTTTGAAATTAACACCTTCTGCATTTGCATTAGCATTTACATTCTCGTTTTGCATTAGCTTATTAATTTATTTATTTTGCTATCGGCTTCTATAATAATTCTTGTCATCTTATTATCATTTTTTGTACTAACTAGTTTATATGTTTTTTTCCTTTTTGCTTGCATCACATGTTCATTGACATAATCAAGGTGTTGATTTACGAGTGATCATCATATTAAAAGGTTTTCATGATGGACAAAGGGTTTCATGATCAAGTAAACTACAATACAACTAAGGAATGACATCCTGAGGAAACTTCGAGAATAATGGAGAGCTATGCGCTCGGGGATCGTATGTTCGACGAAGAAAAAAAGGAGATAAGGGAGATAAAGGAGCAAATGTCCAAGATAATGGATAGAATAACTGCTTTGGCCAAAGGAAAATAGACTTCTGTTTAAGCTCGACAAAAATAGTCATACGATGTCAAGTACACAAAGGGCTACTTTAGAACAAGCTAATCCTAATCAATATGAGAAATCACGCACAATCACCATTCGTATCAACAAGTTATCTGGAGACCCCAAGGAAATGATGACAACTGCAGAAGTCCAGAAAGATGAAAAGAAATAATGCAATCAGAACTCATGGCCATTTGAGAGTATACTTACAATGTCAGGAGGAATAAACCTGAATACTCCAGTTCAATCCAAGCCGAGAGGTGGCTCTTGTTTTGATTATATCCCTATATCATACAAGGAGTTGTATGATAAACTTTTAGAGGCCCGAGAGGTGGCCCCGCATTATGTGAAGCCTTTGCAGTCTCTGTATCCAAATTGGTATGATGTTAATGTTCATTGTGAGTATCATGCCGGGGCTCAAGGACATTCCATTGAGACCTTCAAACGTCGAGTCCAACTTCTTCTAGATCGTGGAGTATTGGAGTTTGAAATGAAAGGTCGACTGAGTTTGGTGACTGATTGTCCTGTTAAGGTGAAGCCAAAAGTGTTCAAAGGTAAGGATATCAGCGGGGGCATCCAGGAGGAAGAAGATTTGCTAAAAACTGAAACTCAAATTTGTCATTTGAGGAATGAAAACAATAAATTGAATAGAGTGATGGAAGCCATGCGTGATGGTTTTCAAAGGATAAGCCTAGCCTTTAAAAATGCTGGTATTGGAAATACCCCAAAAGAGTGGACAATAGGGGTCACTAAACTGAAGAAAGACGCTGAACACTGGAGAAAGAATTGCAAAGTGCATGAAGGTCGAGCCAAGAAGTTCTCTTATGATTTACATATTGCAGAAAAAAGGCGCGATACAACTGTTAATGATTTGAAAAGATGTCAAGTTGAGAATCAGATTTTGAATTTGTCAATAGCCAATATGGAGGCTTCATATCAGCACCACAAGCGTGAGGTTGATGCTGAGCTAGAAACCACTAGAGCAAGGAAAAAGAAATTGATGAAGATGGTAGATAATTTTGAAAATATTACCCAAAGATTTCATAACAACAAAGATTTTCTTAGGAGGAAAAATGAACAACTTTGTTTACAGCTCCAAGAATTGACACGTAAGATGGAGGAAAAAGACAACGTCATGAAAGAAACTATGATCCAAGCAAGTCATTTGGCTTACAAGTTGATTGATATAGCTGGTTTTGCAAGAGAACTAGGGCAGATGGACAACTCAACACTCAAACATGAGTGGAAGTTAACCTGACTTTTGAGAGAGATAGAGAAGTTATGAGTTAAAGCTATTCCTTATGTGTAAAGTTGTTTGATGTATAAAAACCTTTGTGTTCAATGAAATTTATT